CTTTGCACACAGGAGTCCCTGGCTAATGGGAGGAGTGGTAGAATGTGATGTTTTTTCAGCGTGACTGCTGCCATGTGTCATTTTTTAATATAAGGGGATTTGGGTAGGTGGGCAACATAAAGCAAGTCTAGTGCAGATAACCTATGCTTTCCTTGTTTAGATAAAACATATTATGTAAAAATATTTGCTTAATTATGTATTAGAATAGTTTCTCAAACTGCCACTTATTAAAGCCACACATTATATATTGTACATCTCTTTATATAGCTAAATACACAGAACATATTCAAGCAGTTTTTGTCAGCTGATACAGTCAGAAAATGACCAAGCATCCTCTTTTACTAGTATTACATTTTTTCACCTTTGGTACTTTTGAACTTCCACTCCCACATGGCCACTGGTGACTCCACACCTCTAGCATAGTTAGCAACCCCGGAGAATACTGTTTGACTCCTCCAGGACATTTGCAATAGGAATGATGGATGCTTGGTTCATTCTACGCTGCTTGCTGATTCTTTTGGTTGGGCAGGGTAGCTAACAACCCTACCAAGACCCAGGGGAAATTTGGTTGCCAAACATAAGGAGGGAAAAGTGTGGCTGACCACGCCAGTATTTCTTCACCCTTCCTGAAATTGTTTTGGGCACTTTGGCTATCTTCTAGACTAGAGTATTTACTTTGCTCAAAGAGTAATTTCCAAACATGCTAGGGTTCTGCCAACGGTCTCCCTCTTTTTAAATGTTAACTCCATTTGGTTGTGATTTTATAAGAGGAGAAAGAACAGCGGCTGGGAAGAAACACCTGAATGCTCTGTATAGTATTTACCCCTTCTATTTAACAGTTTAATTTTTTCCAATCAGTGAATAATCAGAACTTATTTTTCTGCCCTGTACCTCTTCTTATAGACAGTGATCCCCCTTTTGCTGAGGAGTCTCCCCTTCTCCACCCATGGCCCCATTTCACCTGCATTACAAGTGCAAGGTGCTTTCAGGGCTGCTCTGATTGAGATAACCTGCTTGACTCTGGTCCTCAGTGTGATGGGCTATCCGCTCAGTGTATGTTAGCAAGCTAATACTTTAAGAATCAGACTGGGGACACTGTTCCTAGGAAATTATTCTGGTGGAGCTATGGGTGTTGGAATATGAGTGAAACCCAATCATGAACAGCTTTGTAATGCTCTATCTCATGGTGACTTGATTAAAAAAATGGTTATCAGGTAAAATGTATGTTCTTGGGAAATAAGTTTAAACATTCAGAAACAATACTTTAAAATTAAGAAACATGAATTAGGAAATGTTCTTTTTTACTACAGTACTTCCATAAATTTCTCAAAAGTTGTCAGCTGCCTTATGGAACATACTTGGTACTTGGGAATCTATATATGTTGCAGCTTTCATTTTATTTATATTGAAAAAGTTTTTTAAAAAATTTTTTTTATTTTTATTTTTTATAATTTATTTCTTTATTGAATCACTGTGGGAAAAGTTACAGAGCTTTCGGGTTTAGGTCTCAGTCATGTAAATATCAAACACATTTCCCTTTACTAATACTTATTTTTAACCTGGAACCCCATTAGAACCCCACCTCCCACCCCTCCCAATTCCTGTGAAGCAGATGAGTTCTAGTTAATACTCTATCTACTTTGACTAGATACATTGTTTCGATAGAAGATGCACCATTATTGTTTAGAGTTTACGACCCCCCCACCCCCCCAATCAGACATGCTGAAATGGTGCTGTGAAATGATTTGCTTTCTACAGCTGGGTTTAAGAATAAAATGATGTCGTGCAGCTGCTATTGCGGCTGTGCGGTTCTGGATTTCTGCTATTTTACTTATTAACCCTGGAAGTATTTCTATTAAAAGTTAGATAGTTAAGAGATTGGTTTCTGTGCTCTGGAGTCGTGGCCGTGCCGGAGAGCCGCTCGTGGGGGGCAGCTGGTGACCTCGGTCGGGCGTGAAGGACGGCCCAGAACGCCCCCCTTCCCATGAGGTCCCTGCCGCCCCCACCCGCAGCTCAAACCTGCTGTCCACAAGGCTCCGGTGCGGCCACCATCTTTCTTTCCAGAGAGGAGTGGGCGAAAAAAGTTTTTGTCATTTCAATTTTGCCCCTTTCTAGCACAGCGGGTAGGGCGTTCGCCTTACACGAGGCCAACATGGCCGACCCGAGTTCGATTCCTCCGCCCCTCTCGGAGAGCCCGGCAAGCTACTGAGAGTATTCTATATGCCAGACACAGTAACAACAAAGTCTCCAATGGAGACGTTACTGGGCCCGCTTGAGCAAATCCACGATCAACGGAAGGGCCTTTACCTTTACCTTTACCTCACATAATTTATACATTCAGGTAGCATAATATAATTGAAAGTCTTATCACTCATGGTCATAGTTCTTATAATTTTTTATGTATAATTTACTGAAGCACTGCACTGTAGCACTGTCCTCCCGTTGTTCATCGATTTGCTCCAGCGGGTCCAGTAGCAACTCCATAGTGAGACTTGTTGTTACTGTGTTTGGCATATTGAATACATCACGGGTAGCTTGCCAGGCTTTGTTGTGTGGGCGAGATACTCTCAGTAGCTTGCCGGGCTCTCTGAGAGGGGCAGAGGAATTGAACCCAGGTCTGCCGGGCCGGCTGCATGCAAGGAAAATGCCCTTCCGTTGTGTTATCACTCCAGCCCATAATTTACTGAATAATCATAAATTACAAAGTTACAAAATTAGTCATGATTGAGCCCAGGGGCACAATATTTGATTACTAATTCCTTCATCATGGTCATATTTCTGGGTATATTTCTATATGTTGTATCACCACTTCAAATTAAGATGTCATGTCATTGTTATACTACTTATTATGAAATCAGTCATGTATTTTTTCTGGAGAACGTTTGAAAATTCCATTCCTGCTAAAGAGGAAACTTTCTATCTGAAATTGGCAGTAATTAAATAAGAATTTTAAGTAACAGTGTGGGGATGGGGGATATAGCTCAGACATGTCTCTGGAGGAGTACCACAACTAACAGCTGCCACCACCGAACACTGCCACTGCCAAAAATAGCAGTTGTTGGTAAGGATGTAGTGAGTAACTCGTCAGTCTCATTCTTATACCACAGGATATAAAAAGGTTGTGGCTTTGTGTGAGTCTTTAAAATTTTATATTTATTGATACAGTAGTTGACTATATATTTTTTATTTTTATTTTATTTTGCTTTTTGGGTCACACTCAGCGATGCACAGGAGTTACTTCTGGCTTTGCACTCAGGAATTACTCCTGGCGCTGCTTGGGGGACCATATGGGATACTGGGAATTGAACCCGGGTCAACCGCGTGCAAGGCAAATGCCCTACCCGCTGTACTATCACTCCAGTCCCTGTATATATATATATATATATATATATATTTATGTATATATATATTTAATTAGTATTATCTCAGTTCTATAGAAAAAATACATGGACATAAAAACATGACATAAAAACAAGTGATTAAGTATATAATGTGAAATGTTTATAGTTATTTTCATATGTGTGATTATGATTTCTCTATGATTCTTATGCATTTAAAACTTTTTCAGTTAATATTTTTTATTAAAATCAATATTGTTTTACTATTAAAATTAATATGATATATGTTCTGAACCTAAAATTCATTGCCTGACTTTCAGAACTGAATGCAAAATGTAGGGAATCCCAATTAAATATATGGCAAATAATAGACACCTATTCAGGTTTTAAAAGATAGGTGTACAGTTACAACAGTTTATATCAATATTTATTGATATGTTAAAACAAACATTAAACTTAGTGTGAACTAGATGCCTGGAATTTTGTATAATAGATGCTTGTAGTCTTTGCTGCTCTTCTAGGTTAGGTTGCCATTGTATTTACCATGACATTCTGAAATTGTCCCTTTGTTGGTCTAATCTAATAGATTATGGATTCATTGAGGACAGGGGTTCTATGTTTTTCATTTATGTATCTTCAGTGTGTAGTAATAGTTCTATGTAGGATGTCAGAGTGCTGAGGCATTAGGTACATTTTGAAAAATGAGTGCCCGTGACAAATCACTTTGAGGTTAGCATATACTTTTATTTATTTACTTATTTTGGTTTTGGGCCATGCCCAGCAGTTCTCAGGGCTTACTCCTGGCCCTCTGCTCAGGGATCACTCCTGACTGTGCTTAGAGGTATCACAGAATGCAAGGCAAGTACTATCCTACTGGATTCCCGTTCTATCACCTCCCCTTTTTAAAAAGTATATAATTTTAGAAGGAGTTTCCCAACTGTGCTCAGGGGACCTGGAAGCCTCTCTCGGATATCCTTGATCACTTTTAGGTGATCTATTTATTAATGTTACAGAATATCTTTATAGCAACAGTGAAATGGATCACTTTTAGGATTGTTTGGCAAATTTTGGAGCTACTGTTAAGAGCTTGTTAATGGTTGTGAGTTACTCCTAGCATCTGTGGGTTGAGGCTGAGAATGGACAAACATACTGTAGTGTGCAGTCCCCCTCTTTGCATCATGAGGCCTACAGTAAATGCCAGCAGTGTTGCTGTGGAGAAGACCTGGCCTAGTCAATGATCAAATTTCTTGATCACTCTACAAATATTTATTTTACTCATAACAGTGCTTTATAACCTAGAACCAAAGTGTAGTACTCATAATGCCATTTCATTTATCACTTAAAATTAGTCATAGAACAATTCTTAAATTTCAGTTTGAGGTAACTAAAGTATTACTTTTCTTATTGGGAGAAAAGGCAGTTGCTCCCATATTGTGAAAGAAAATATAGATGTCACTGTCCTTGTCTGTCTTTCTTAGTTTTCCCTGTGCCACTGTTTTAAGAGTCTTCATGACAGACATTGCCTGCCACTTTGGTATTATGTTTATATGGTAGTTTAAAATTGAAAATATAAACTCTTATTTATAAGTAAATATTAATACAATGAATGATAGATTTACTTTTTAGTCCCATTTATCTCATTAGTTTAATTTTTATTGATAGGAACAGGAGCTGGTCTGGGAAAAATAATCCAGAGATTTCCACAGAAGGACTGGGATGATACACCTTTCCCACAGGGAATTGAATTGGTAAGTTGAAACCATTTTTTGTACTTTCATAAGAATAATTTTGTTTTATTTTGGAGTCTCAGCCAATCATGCTCAGAGGCTATTCCTGGCTCTGTGTCTGGGAGTTGCTTCAGGTGGTGCTTGGGGGATCATGCAATGTTGGGGATTAACCTGAGCCCTGGGCAAGTATGCGTACTAGCACCTTGAGCTACTCCAGTGCCTATAATGATAATTTTAAATTTTGTTTTGCTTTTTGGGCCACACCTGGTGTTGCTCAGGACTCATTCCTGGCTCTGTGCTGAGGGATCACTCCTGACAGGGACTGGGAGACCATATGGGATGTAGGGGATCAAACCTGGGTGACTGCATGCAAAAGCAAGTGCCCTACCTGCTGTACTGTTGCTCTGGCCCCTATAATACTTTTTAAATGTTACATTTAAGACTATATTTCTCTTAACAATTTGGTGATTTAACGAACATGTTTCTAGAATAATTCTCACCTGTCCCCTAGATCACAACTTTAATCTTTAATGATTTTTTAATGCTTGTTGGGGGTCTTTTTTTCCACTTAAACATCTCATATTAAAGATGAAATTGGTGATTTTTTTATTTCTGGATGACAGATGAAAAACTGTTAGTGAATTTTTTTTCTTTTTCTTTTTGGATCACACCCAGCCATGCTTAGGGGTTACTCCTGGCTCTGCGCTCAGGAATTTCTCCTGGTGGTGCTTGGGGGACCATATGGGATGCCGGGGATTGAACTTGGGTTGGCCCCGTGCAAGGCACTGTACTATCGCTCTAAAGAACCACCAGTGATTCTTTAATCAAAATCTTAGCCGATGCCCAGAAAGTTGGCTTAGAGGGCTAGAGTGCTTTGTGTGTTGGACTTCCAGTTCCAGTTTCAGTCCTGTATCATATGGCCCTAGTATTGCTAGGGTGTAGTGTACAGTCAGGTATGCCTTTGCACCTGATATTAATATAATAACTAATGAAAGCATAATAACTTTAGTGATAAAGTTTCACTAAGGACATATTCTTAGTATTTCCCCCCCAAGAATCCCCAGGTGGTTGTTGCAGTAAAAATTAAACAAAAAATGCAGGCAAAAACCCTAGGTTGATTTCATGGTAATTAATCATGATTTAAGTTTAATTTTGAAATCACAAATCTGAGTTCTTTATTTCTAGCTCTAGGGTTTGCAGCTTGCTTTGTAATTGTGCAATTCAGTTGCTTTATTTTTGTCAGCCATTTTACAGCAGCTTACAGTTGATAGTAAATTACGATATCTAGGACATTGCCTATGGTGGTGGATGCTTGATGCTAAAAACAGGAATAAGAAAGATGATTACAATTGTGTTTTGCAGTATGACTATAAAGTTTGGTTTTCAAACATACTGGAGTGTGTGTATTTAGTTAGATTTTGTGTATGTCTGTCTACATATACATAGTAATAATAATTTTCTTCAGAACAGTTCTTGAGTAAATATTCATATAATGTGATAGTAAAGGGTATAATAAGCTCTGGAGATTGCCTGGGTTGAAATCCCAGTTCAAAAAACAAGCCTAAAATCCAGTATGACTTTCGGCTTTGTTCTTGGAATCAAACCTTGTGGCGCTCTGGGGCTTCTCCGTTTGGAGGTGTCTTCCCAGCATTGCTCCTGGTGCCATGTGGTGCAGGGGATTGACTGTGGGGGCCTCCTGTATGCAAAGCATGAGTGCAGTCCACCGAGAAATCGCTCTAGTACCTATAAGGTGTGAATTGAACAAGCCATTGCTTCTTTGTGAAACAGAATCCCCATCTGTAAGATGAAGATAATGGCAATGTTAATTTTTTTTTTTTATTAGTGAAACACCATGAGGTACAGTTGTAGATTTACAATTTTTTTGTGCTTGGGTTTGATTATACAATGATCAGATACCCATCCCTCCACCAGTGCCCATTTTCCACCACCATGGATAATATCCCCCCCACCCCCATGCCCCCATCCCCCCCTGCCTCTGTGGCAGGGCAATCCCCTGTGTTCTCTCTCTCCTTTTGGGTGTTGTGGTCTGCAAAAGAGGCATTGAGTGGCAAACATGTTCAGTCCATAGTCCACTTTCGACATGCATCTCCCCTCCTGGGAGGGTCCTCCAAGCACCCTTTATTTGGTGTTCCCTTCTCTGTCTGAGCTGCCCTTTCCTCTAGAATGCCCGACTGGCCACTAAGCTATGTAGTAATCCTCCTGGTGCTGATCTCGGCTATTCTTGGGTATTAATCTCATATTTTGTTACTTTATATCCCCCAGATGAATGCAATCTTTCTATGTCTATCCCTCTCTTTCTGACTCATTTCGCTTAGCATGATACTTTCCATGTTGTACCACTTGTATGTAAATTTCATGACTTCATCTTTTCTAAGAGCTACATAGTACTCCATTGTGTAGATGTACCAAAGTTTCTTTAACCAGTCATCTGTTCTTGGACATTCAGGTTTCTTCCAGTTTCTGGCTATTGTAAAGAGTGCTGCAATGAACAAATAAGTGCAGATGTCACTTCGACTATACATTTTTGCCTCTCTGGGATATACTCCCAGGAGTGGTATTGCTGGGTCAAATGGGAGGGCAATCTTAATTTTTATAAAGTTGTTACAAAAATAAAAAGTAGGAAAAAATTTAAAATTGCTTAGAACAACATCTTTCACAAAGTTAGTGCCAAGTAACTTTAGGTGACTGGTTGACTTTTTACTATTACTACTCACATGGTTGTTGGTGATGTTGGGTGGGCATTTCATGGCACCTCTCCAGAAGAATAATTATCCTTTTGTTAGCATGAATCAGAAATATCTATTTGGATAAAACTGATATTGAAAATGTTAATTTTTATCATCCTGGCTAATGATTGTTCAGCTTCACTAAGAATAAAAAGTACTCTTTTTTTTTCATAGCAAACAAACTTTAATGCACATCTCCATGTGAAAACTGATCTTAATTTTAAAAGTCCCATTCATGGAGATTCCCAGCATCTGTATAGGAACGACATTATTTTTCTCAGACACCTGGGATTCAATGGAGACCTCTTGCTGGGCAGGGGTCTAGCAGGCACCTGGTCTGACGCGGGCCTCTATCTGTGTCCCCCGGGTGAGGTGCTGCGGGCCCGCTGTGCCTTGAATTAAGGACTCTCGTCAACAATCTATGGGACAGAGGTGCAAATCTCTTGGCTCCCGAGCGTTGGCACCTGGAGATTCCGGCCCTTGGGGCTGCTGGACTTGGCCGGGCATCTGGGGCTGCACCAAGATCTTGCGCACCGTGGTGCCCTCGCTGGAGCTGGTGTGGAGGACAGGGGCGTCCGAGTGGTTCCCAGCGGTCGGGCGCAGGGATGGATGTGGCTCCGGCACGGTGGTCTCAGGGCGAGGCTGCAGAGAAGGGAGCCGTAGTGGACGGGGTCCGCCAGGCCAGGCCAGTGCTGGACTCTGGGCAGCAGGAGGGTGGCCCTGGACGGGCACTCCTGGCGGGCATCTCAGGGCAGCCTGCAGCGATTGACCGGTGAACAGCTGGGGCAGCCGGAGTGAGGAGTGGCAGTGCACTGGCAAGAGGCAAGGAGGGCAGCCAGCCATAGGCAGTGTGGGCATGCTCGACCAGATGGCGGGGGACGGCTGCGGGCGAGGCAGTGCGTGGCTGGACACCAGGCATGGGCCCACAGGGGCGCGTCGGAGACTGGGCACTGACTTCTGAGTGGCCTGCGGGGCCCGGACCAGCGGCTGGACAGCCATCCTGCTCCCGTGCGACTGCAGATGCTTGGCCATCCAGGATCCCACGGCCCGGCTCTGCAGGCGGAGCCGAGAGATCCAGCCCGCCCCCCTGCTGCCAGGCGAGGTGGAGGAGAACGCCTGGCTCAGGCTGGAGAAGCTGCCCTTTGCGGTTTTGGGGACGCGCCTGCTACCCTGCACGGAGGCCAGCAAGTGGCCAATGGGGGTTGCGTGGTCCTAGACGTCGAAAGAAATGTGGGTGGCCGGGTCCGGGGAGCTGGAAGCCCGGGCCTCAGCGGTGGTCACGGCAGCCCCGTCAGCGTTGGCCTCGATATCGCCGGACCCCGGCTCGAAGGTCCACCGAAACCAGCTGGTCCACCAGATAAGATTCAGGAAGTAGCCGCCCACGACCAGGTAGATTAGCTTGTCCCAGTTGTCCTCCGGGACGCGCATGGTGGCCAGCAGTAGCACGATGCCCACCATACTGAAGGAGACGATGAACCAGGAAAAGATCAGGCGGCGTTGCAGGGCCTCCACCCGCTTCGGGTCGCGCCACTGCCTCTTCCTGGGCAGCGCTGTGCTGCCCTGGGACCGCACCTCATACAGCGAACTGCTACGAGGCATTTTTGACCTCTGGCCTGAAGCTCGGCTACAGGCCAAATGAAGTCCAGGAGGCCCCTGGGTCTCCTAGGCACCTCGTGTGGGCGTGGCCTGCAGTGAGGTGTGGTGGACAGGGCACAATGGGCAGGGAGAGGTGTGGTGGACAGGGCATAATTGGCGGGGAAAGGGGGAGGGGCCAGGGCCCGTGTGTGCCGGCCTTGCCCGGCTCTGCTTGCCCTGATTCCCTGCCCTGCCCCTGACACATCAATCCAAGTTGTCCTGTGTGGTGGGTGGTCTGTGTCCTGGCCACGCGGCTCAATAAGCGCTGGTGCTGCCTCATCCCAGGTCTGTGCCTTCCAGGATGACTGCGAGGTTCTGGTGGAGAGCCAAAGTCAGCCAAAGGAACTCCCAACAGCCAGTTGGTGCCTGGTTCCGAGGTTTCCATCGTTTGGGGGGTGCCAGGTGGTTCTTGGCTCTTAGGTGGGAGGAGAACCAAGACCCCCGAGGAGTCTGGCTTCAAGGAACTTCCAACAGACCAGTGATGCTGCCTGTTGGGTTCTGAGTTTTCCACCCTTTGGTACCTGTAAGGGGGGATGCTTTTGGTTCTGGGGTCTTATGTGGGACTTGTGAGATGGTGCTCTTGTGAGGGAAAATAGGTCAAAGAGCTGAAGCACTTGCGGAGTGTGATGGAGCTCTGGG